AGAATATGTTCTAGATATACAATAATATTGGTATACTGATTAAGATTTTTAATATATAAATGATGGCAAACAAGATAGTATAAATAATTGTTATTTTTTTGATATAAATTTGAGCAGAAGATTGTATTCTAGATATACAAAAAATGATATTACTATGCTAGAATAACGACACAAACACAAATTTATCGTCATTCAAGTGATGACACAAATGCAAATTTATATCTACTATAACAAAATGATATCCTTTTTGATATAAATTTGGGTAAATAAATATGTTCTGGATAATTATTCTTGAATAACAAGAGTTTCAAGTTAAAAGATCTTACTTTTTTTCAAGCAATCTTTTTTTAAAAATTTCTTGTACTGGTTTACTAATCATTTATTTCTTGGTTCTTGGTGGTGGTTCATAGTCAAAGCGAATAGCAAAATAATCTTTACTAATTTTCTTATATCTTTTTTGATCTTGTGGTTTTGATGTTGCAAAATGACCAAGAGTTGAATCAAGTATTTTTCGGAATAGATAAGTTACCTAGGTATAAAATAATTAATAATTTATAAATTAATTAATATATACTTCTGTTTTATATAAACAATTACAAGAGCAAAGTGAAACAATATAATCTAAAAATAATAATTAATATATTTAACTGTTTAATATATATGTGTATAAATTATAATTTATATACCTGGTAATTGTTTAATATGCATGTGTAATAGTTAAAATAAAAATTGTTAAAATGTATAAACTTTAGAGCTTTGATATCATGGCAAAGCATATAATATAACTGTGTTGATGTTAGGTTTTTGTCTGGAGAAATTGGTGTATTTTTGATTTATCAATTTGTATATTATTATGACTATTAATTACTTCTTCATCTTCTGTAAATTTAAATCTTTTATTCTTATAATAATGTTTTTCTTCAATAGCAGAACTTCATGTCTCATATGAATATTCATATATAGCAATTTGTCATTTCTAATATTCATCTGCTTCAATATTGATATAGCTTTCATTATCTGAATGAATATTCTTATTATTTATAAAAAATCAATATCATCTGAGTTGAAGTTTTCAATAGCAAGGTTAAAAGCAGAAATGAGATAGTTAGCTGCTTTTTGACAGTTAGTAAATTTTTGAAAAATTGGTAAAATAAAATTAGTAAAATTATTATATAGATTTATAAAAAAATTATTGATTTATACATTAGCATATTTTGTATTTCTATTTATTTGATATTTATTATACTTATTGGTTTCTGAATCATTCATTATTTTTTTGTATCTGATTTTATGTTTTTTGTAATTTTGAAGAATATCAAGTATATTTTTACTTGTATATAAAAATTGATCAATAATAATATTTGAAATTTTTGGTATCCATATTTTTTTTATATGATTACATTGTTTTTGTTACTCAATATTTGGATTAACAATAAATTCTATATCTTTTACTTTAATAAATCATTCAACAGTATCATAAACGAGAGTTTTATAAAAAAATATTTAACAATATAACATTTATAATATTAATTGATAATCTGCCTATTAACTAAAGAATAGGCAAAATGTGGTTGCTTCATCTAAATTTTTTTTCTTACTAAGTTAATGATACATATCCACTAATTAAAAATTGTAGAGCTCATCAAGATGTATCTAACAGTAGTTAGATTATCCAAATCAGCACAGTGAATAATGAGATATCATCAAAAAATGATTGGCTGACTATATAAAATTCTGTGATGAAAATCATATATGAAAATCACTATAGATGAAATATGATGTATAGTAGGTATTATTTGAAAGTTCTGGGACACTTTTAGTTACCGGTATCAATCTTGTATATAAATTTGCATTTGCATTATCAAATCAATAATAATTATCTAGAACATATTTATTTACCCAAATTTATATCAAAAAGGATATCATTTTGTTATAGTAGATATAAATTTGCATTTG